GAAGATGTCAAATTATAGTTATTTACTTGCATTCCTGAACAGAAAAAAATAGTTTTAGTGGTTGAATGTTATACTTGATTAATTTCTGCCCAGTGGCTCAGATTTGGGTCTAGAAAGGTGAGTTCAGGTTGAAATTCATTATTCATGTTCAAAATGGTAAAACGTCGAGAGCTGAGGGAGTGTTGAAGCACTTTGTGATGCTGGATGGTCTATATGTATAAACAATGCTTAGCTAATTAGACAGGTGGTCTAATGAATGTGTTGAGCACTGCATCTATTTGGTCAATTTAATTGTGAGAATAATATCTGAATGATATTACTAATGCTTAGAAAGCTGAGTTATGGCCAATCAAAGTTGACACAGGTAGAAATTAATTAATATCCAAATGGTCAGAGGAACATCTTGAATCATGGGTAGGTTGGTGATATTTGCCATCCTAAGAGGTATAAGTGTCATCCACCTGTTTGCCAAGTTTCAATATCCTTCCATGTTGTCTTCATGCCAAAACATTTCATCTATTTAACTGAATAATCCACCTCATTGATTGAAGACAAAGCAACTTGAGGCCTTTTTTATTGAGGAAGATTTGGAAAATTACCGTAATTTCTGGACTATTGAGCGCATCTGAATATAAGCCATACCCACGGACTTTAAAGAGAAAACAAGTTTTGTACATATACAGGCTGTACTTGTCTATAAGCTGCAGGTGTAACATGAGATATTTACATAGAAAGATTTTTTAACTTTTAATTAAATACGTACCGTAAATCCTTTTTTCCAAACAGTACCTGTCACACGGCTGGTTAAGAAAATAAAAAATACAGTATCCTACCATGAAAAGTCATTGATCGCTATCTTCATCTTCCTCCTGCACTAAAACCACTAAAGTCGTCTTCTTCAGTGTCGGAGTTTAACAGCCTCAGAATTACTTCCTCAGTCTCTCTTTCGTTGTCGCTCTCAATGTCACTTTCGTCTCGAGGCGAATTCGTAAAAATCCATAAATTGGCAGCATCGTTGTTTAAGCCACAGTGTTCAAAGCGTGTGAAAAAAGTAGCGGCTTATAGTCTGGAAATTATGGTACACAAAGGTATTTATTAACTCATGCAATAAGGTCAGAACAGATTAAAAAAAGGGGTAAGTGTCAGTTTCAGATCATTCCTGCAAAGTTTCAACAGATCCTCAGATGGTCGAGCAGCCACCTTCGCTGAGTTGACACAGAATGACGCAATGGTTGTTTGTACGATGCTTTGCAATCATCTCAATGAATGTGTTTAAATATTAGCATATAATACATACAGCTGCTGATGCCATCATGCTTGCGTCGGTGGATACAGCGCAGCCAAAAATAGCAGCGTTGTTTTGTCCACGGCCTCGAATACGGTGCAGATGTTCTGGCGTTTGTTTATGAGACAGAGATAATTGCGAATATCTGGCGCATACTAATGTAGTGGCGTTACATCCAAGTCGTGTCTGAAATGTATCAGCAGCTGTCTGGCCCTCGTCTCCCGAGTGGTCCGTGGAGCACCACAACAACTCCAACACCATGTCGACGTGACTCAGGGAGCAACTCCAACAAAACCTGCCGTTACCCGCAATGCAACTCCAACTGCAAACAGTCGTGTAGCCGGTAGCTAGCTTCATGCAGACGTCTGCAAAGATTTTATTTTCGTGCTCAAACTCGTAGTTTTTATACCAATGCTGACTCATGTTGCATCGGATTTGACTCCTTCTGGTTTTTGCTCATCCTACGTACTACAGACCAGCAATTGTAGAAACGCTTAGTTTTGCTTACTTTGCTAATTTCTGTTTTTTCCTCATGAAGCACTTTGTTTTACGTGTGCAGCGGGGTTGTGTACACGTATTTCACACATGCACACTGCTGCCCCTGTTGCATAAATGCACGCAGACGCAAATTTGTGGCCGTCTGCATGGCGACGATGAGTCTGCAGCGGAGTGCATGTGTGGAAACTATAGATATGACCTCCTGTGCATGTATGAAAGTCCTCCTAATGGACTGTGGTGTTCTTAATGGTGGGAGGTAGCATAGTCAAGGCTTAACTAACTCCCCAAGAGCTGGAAACTCACTGACACATAAAGTCAGTGAGGTCCTCCTTGAATCCTTTCTGTTGTCGTAGTTTACCTCCTGCAGCATGGCTTGTGCCGAATGCTAATCTGTGCAGCTACAACTGTACAACAAGCCCAGAAACCTATAATGAGGGCCACATGCTAGAGCCAACAGATAAACCCAAAATCTAATTTGACATTTGGTTCCCCTTAGACTGTAATTGTATTGGTTTGATGCAGCCCAGATGACTGCAAAAGGACCACACAGTTCAGAGGAGACGCTGTTGTTGTGCATCGCTACTGTACTGACCTGAGAGCAGCATTAAAACCATCCTGGTGTGTGTCAGAGGTCCTTAAAACTTCTCTGTTTAGACATTAACTCTTTCAAAACAGATGTTTAATATCAAGCCCTGTCTTGGTAATTAAAGCAGAATTCTATCATTGTTAAACGACACTTCAGCTGTGAATCATCTTCTCAGCCTCCTCCTGTTGGTAAGGTTGGGATCACAATAGCGGAGGGTTTAATGTGAGGTGCCATCAGTTTAATTGCTTTCGGTGTGCTGACATGTTGCCTGTCGCAGAGAGAGAAATCCTCACCTGGATGGTAATGCTGTTCTGTCAACGCTGTGTCCTCTCTCCTACTGTGGCAACAATCTGGCGCTCTACCTTTGATTTTCCACATGAAAGTCAAAAGCAGATGTCTGCAGCCCGATAGAAAATTTGATCGTCGGGGGCGACCTGAAGTGTTTCTGGCCTCAGCAGCTGAGCCTCTGGTTTGACTCCACCGAACTTGTCGTTCTCACACTCTCATTCTCTGGATTCCTTTTTTTCTACTGTGATCGATCTAAATAATACATAAATGAAAGCATAATGCCAAAAAAATCATACTTCTGTTGTTGTTGCCTTTCTATTGTGTCCATTCATGGGTTAATACTCAAAGGAGCTTTTCATAGATAGTTGTTGGGGAGTCTTTTAAACCTTTAGATGATTGCAGGCAGGTAACGGCAATGAAGAATAAAATACGTTTCCGAACTGTTTATACAACAATAAGCCACAACATTAAAACCACCGACTGATTAATCATTTCGTACGAAGCAAAGTTCTGATCCTGGCATTCATATGGATGTTCCTAAATATTATTAAAGACCAATCACACCTTCATCATGTCGCTACTCAGGGCTGCACAACGAAGTAAGTTTCAAGGCTTCTTTGTTTGCTCGACAAAACCTAAAACTTGAATCAGAAATAACATAACGGTGATTCTCAGCTGTATTTGTTTACTCGGGTTTTCTACTTCGGACTGTGTGTTCACGTAAAAGGAACCACGAAACATCACGTGACTCTTCTTCTGCCGCCTAATTCAGTCAACAAGCTGTTTTGATGGAGAGCGACGGGGAATACAAACAGCTATGACGGTAGAAAGAGCTGCTAATAATGCAAGACAGGAACGGTGGTAGAACACTGGTAGCTGTGTGTTAATATATTTGTTTTACAACTTCACACATTTAGACTAGATCTTGTGTTGAAGTGTGTTTAGGTCTGACACTGTCCCATAACGCAGGATGTCACTTTTGATTTTTTTGGCCAAATCAAACTGAAATAATGTCACTGCTTGAGTATTCTTTGTAATCATTATTAATAGAATAATCAGTTTTCTAATCTGTGTTCTATCAGCTGCAGTACCAGCAGTGTAAACAGACTTGGCAGCAAATCAGGACCAAACGTATAATAACGAATTTTTGCGATTTCAGCTGAATGCGTGTCGGGTTCCCATGGCAACGAGATGCATACAGTGTGCCACCTGCACAGCTTCATTCGGTGGTTTTAGTAACGTACAGCTCAACAGGTTTGCAAATAAAACATCTTCCCTCAGCTGAGAATCTGTTTAACTGTCAGGAAAAGATTTGGTTAAAGTCAGACGCTTCTTACAGCTGATTTAAATCCTTCAGACCTTCTTCAGACCAGGTTAGCTCAGCAGCAGCAGTTGCTATGGTGATCCAGCAGGTTAAAAGAGAGCCACCTTCATGACGCTGAAAACGTTAGGCTCAACATCCCTCGTTAACCCATTAATCCCTCTTTGTAGTCCAGCCGTCCTCCAGCAGGACGATGCACCTGCTTTAGAATGACTCGAGGAACACGACAATGAGCCCAAAGAGCATTCACGTGGCCTCCGAAGTCGCTACATCCCATCCATGAGAAGGCCTCGTCTCACAACCCGCAGGATCCAACCAGGGGTTGATCAATGTGGCTTATTAGTGATCAAAAAGACCAATAATTGATCAACATGTTTAATAAAAATGAAACTCTTGTTGTCAAATTCTAGAATAACACAAACTCCAACACAAAACTTCACTAAAATGCACTTATTTGGGTTTAACATCTGTTTAATCTAAAGAGAAGCTTTTAAAATTCCTTCATTGTTGATTGGCTATTAGTCGTGGCGTTTAGCCAATCAGATTGCACGGTGGGCGGGGCTTAACGGACACCATAAAATGGTGACCACAGGTAGCGAGAAGCGGCTGCATCAGAGCCACAGTATCAAATGTTAAATTATTTTTATTTACAACTGCTTTTAAAAATAATACAGATAATAATAATATTTAAAAAAAAATAAACAAAAAGCTGAATATCGGATTCAATAATCAACTGGTCGACCCCCAGTGTCAGTGTCCCAGAGCTCCCAGTGCGTCCAGAGCTGCATGACAGGACCTACACAGCACTGAGCAGGTGGTTTTCATGCTGTGGCTGACGTGTATATCAGATTAAAACATCATCATCAATATGCCTGCAGGGCCAGTTTACTTTGAGAACGACTACTGTAGCGGTAATATTGTGTAATACTCAGTCAATGGACGCTGTTTATTTTGATTCACGGCGGCCGGCCCTGCTAAGAATGGATGACTGTAGTGTTGAGACACTCGTGCCGAGACAGGGACATGTGGAATGACATTTTATTGCGCGATTAGTCATTTTTCAGACAACAAGGCTCCCCCAACATTAAAACAAACAGCAATGTACAAAACAGCACACCCTTTTTTGTTGTTTTTTTTTTTTGCCATCAACGGAAATTTAATAAGGTAGTGAGAGTACATAACAGAAAGTAATGGAGTGTAAGGACGCGAGTTATGATGATGTCGTTGAGATGTATAGGATGAGCTTGATGTCAAAGCCAAAGTAAGCACCATCGTCATGTAGTCAGGAAAAGGCCATATTTCAGTAAGAAATATTCTAGAATGGGCGAGGAGAGGTTAAACATGATACAAGAGGGTTTTGTTATCACAGTTTTCAGACATTTTTACCAACTAAAAAAAAGAACAATATCGGTGTAGCACTACTTTATCATGCAATTTACTTTAGTAAACCTTCTGACACACAGACAAAATATACTTCAATAAGTAGAACTCAATACATCTCTGTCCAGCAATAGTCACAAAGCCTGTAATTTATACTCTTTAAATGTGAGATCCCTATCAAAAATAATATGCAGATTTTTATTTTTCTTAATATATCTAAAGTGCAAGTATTTATCCATTTTTATTCAATGCTTTCTGTAAGTATAAAATACAAAGGAAAAAAACAGCAATATGTTTTTCCTGTTTACATGTTATATTTTTCTGAAAGGAAGAGCATCATATATAACAAACCATATATATATATATATACACACACACACACGCCACAGATAAAATATTTTTGAAAGATACAACATATTATCTCATATGGGGATGGTAAAGGGATTTAGACCAAACGGTGACATGGGATATGTTCATTGTGCATTGACCCCACCCCTTAAAATCCAGGATCCATTTCCCAACATCTTCAAAACATTTGAAAGAACGTCTTTGTAACTATACACAACAGTAGCCTTTACAGTCTGCAAACATGATGGACCCTACTAGTGTGCAAACAGAAGACGTGCTGAATGAGCTCCTCTGTCAGTGGTTTGTGATGAGTCATATAGTGCTTGGCTTTGACCAGAGGCTGCGATTGGCTGTGAGATTTAACCAGGAAACTCTGAATGGCCAATGAAAGACTACAACACTGAAACCAGGAACAGAGCACATTTGGTTGTCTGGACCACCTTCATGGAAGTCTGTTTTCAGTCGGTTACAGATCGGTGGCGGAGGCGGGAAGCCGCCGCCCACAATTCGCGTGTGGAAGTTTGCTGTTAATAAGTCGTGTACATGTGGCTGTTCGGATGTGGTCAGAAACATGAATAATCTCCCCGCCGAAGCCGGGAGGAACAAGCAGACAAAGTACCTACAGCTGCAGCCATCCTAGCAATCTGACTTTGCAAAGCCACTCGTGAGCTTTATTCCTCCTCTGTTTCTGTCAGTCACCGTTTGTGAGGAATGGTCGGGTTAGCTGTCGTCTGAGCAACAAAAAAACAGAAGCTCTTTTAAATAAAAATCTGACAAACGAACACTGCAGCTGTAACAGACAGAAGGCAGTCATGATTAGGGATTGCTACGATGGCTACCGCTGTGTATTAAACCAAAACACCACTCTCATCAATGCTAACAGCTTCCGTGCGCCATCGCTCGTGTACGCTGAACTTAGCCACCGAGGACGGCTCACAGAAAACAAGATGAACAACATCTGCCTACCATTTTGCATTTGAGTCCCAGAAACTGATGACCGTGTAATGTGGGCACAACATGGCTGCAAGGTCACTCCAGGTTTTGCTGTGACACCGTTTGAGCTCTCATAAAACGAGATTTGATCACACTGTTTTCAGCAAAATCACAAGCGCCCTCTTCCTGCGTAGCTCCAGCAGAGCTGCGACCCAAAAAATGAACAAGTCATGTTTCACAACAGAGTCGCTCTGCGCTGAAAACACGACCGACCCGGTAGCACCTTTCGATTACAGTCTGTAACAAAACACGTCTTCTAATCGTTAAAAGAAAAAAAAAAGTGTGCGTTTCACAGAGTGAGGCATCCACAAAGTGAACTCTACGAGCAGGTTCAGCCTCTCCTTATATTTGGCCATAAGAGAAAAAGAGAAAGGAAGTGTTATATTTCCAGTCTTCATGTAGCATGAGCCTCCTGGAGGCCTAGATTCAATCAAGCTAAAGCTCGAACACTTTGGGGAATAAGTTCTGTGTCACAACAGAGTCCAGACTGGCGTTGAACTCAAGATGAACTCAGATTGACCTCAGATGTGCTTTGCTGGGCACATAGTCGTCGGTGGATTGCACGTGTGTTCAATGGGCTTTTCTATAATTCACAGGGCAGTGTGAGGAAATACAGTCGTCTCTGCAGGAGGGGAAGGAGATTTCCTGTTCTTCCCCGTGACAGAGAGTAACGTCCTAACTGGCTCTGTGTAACAGCCGTGTCAGAAGGTGGTGGTGGTGGGCTGCTGCTGGTGAAGCCCCCACGGTGCAGCGCCAGCCTTCATCTGGCCTCTCACCATCACTCTGAGACAAACTTGGGCCAAAAAAAGTCCGGCGTGAAACAGATGGGATTTACTGGAACGTTTTTTTTTCTTGACTCTGTTGCAACAGGCGTGACCAATCGAACACAGATCGACTTTTAAACTTTTTTATCCGTGACACCAGTTCTCTTTTTAGCCCAGGTGTGGAATTCTGCGTCAGTCTAACCTCAGGTCTGGCTGGACCGGGCTGTAACTGCCACGTTTATCTAGCGGAGGCCTCTAAAGCTGCATGTGTTTCCCTGTCATGTCAGCTCGATGCTACTCCACTGAGACCAGTCGTTTCAGCTGCTGTAGGCCGTCCTGCTTTGAACGAAACTGATTAATCAACACTCGAAGGTCGTTGAGCCTAAAGGTCAGTGGGGTCAAAATGAAAGGATGGACCGAGTATCCTAAGCGACGCGTACAGACAGCCTCTGCTGCACAGACAATGAGTCAGGGCCTTTTTCTATGCTTTGAAGCTCGAGCTGGGAAAGAGAAGCAGATCTGAGATCAGCCCACACCAGAGAGAAGGATTTTGATCCTCATTGTAAAAACAACAACAAACTCCTCTGTCCTTTGGCTCGGCCACGGCGGATCGCTATCGCCCGGCTCAAGTGAAACCACAAAAAAAAAGCGCCAAATCGCAGTTCACCTGTCCGGCGATCGACAGTCCCAGGCGAGCGAAGGGGTCGCACTCAGGCTCCAAACACACAAGGTTCCTGGCGTCTAATGACAGGAGGCCTTGTGCGGCTCTAGACACCATTCAAAATACTTTAGAGGCCTCCCAAACACTCAGATAGCAACAAGAGGCCTCGACAGGGGGAGACTGTATGTGTGTGTGTGTGTTTGTCAGCCACCCCTGGACTCAAGATACTATTGAGCTTCGGTGTAGGCCACCGCTGAGGGCTGACATGGAGACAGTCGGAGGCTGTCGACTGTGTGTGTGTGTGTTTGCAGAGGAGGGAAGAGTTTTTCTCTGGGGTGACTCCGCAGGGGAACGTACAACACCCGAACTAGTCTACGCGCACTGAGAGACGGACAAGGCAGCCTACTGGTTTTACAGAATGTGACAGGAAAAAAAAAACAAACAAAACCTCACTACTAGTCTGACTTCTTTCACTTGGAGCAAGTGCTTGAGAAGAAAGTCTTCACATTTCGGAAAATATAATGCAGATGCATCAGCCTCGTCGTCATGCTTTCAAACATCTACTGATCACATAGCCTATACATTTTTTCGTCTTTTTAATAGTCTATACACGTGATACAATGCCACGATTGGCACGTACACAATATTGCACACTAATATGAAACGTCCTCCACTCGTCAGCGGCTTCGTCTCTGGCTGGGAGGGAGAAACCTGACGCGTTTCGGACAACACAACGTGGAGAATAAAGAAAAATAAAAGAGCATCAGAATAACAATAATGCAAAAGTGACATATTCTGAGCGGCGAGGCCCCCAAGGAGCGATCAAGGGGCTGTAGCACCATAAATAGAGATAGACACTGCCTCGGCCCTGCATCGACGGGCCTCTACATCCACTGGACTGCACTCAGACTGACTGCATGGGACCGGCCGGCTGGCTGCCTGGCTGGCTGACTGCCTGGCTCCTTAACAGCATCCATCTCAGCTCTGACGAATAACCTCAACCAGGCGCTCCTGATTTAGTTTTTTTTTGTTGTTGCTGTTTTTTTTTTGTTGTTTTCTTTTTTTTTTTTTCAACATCATGGTGCATATGGTGTGCAAAGCCACCCGTAACATCCTCCATGCTTACAGTCGGCGCCGCCACCGGCAGCACGTCCTGGGTCCGACTCCAGGGAGACACTTCTCACTCTGTGGGAGGAAACCCAGCCAGGGGAGCTGCTGGGGATTCAGGGTCCAGGCCGCTGTAACACTCTGAGCCCCCCCCCCGCCCCCCCAGCACCTTCTAGCCACTCCCACTGTTGCCTCCCTCGAGCTCCCAGCAGCCTTTCAGCGTACTTTTGGTGTTGCCACGCATGCTCCATGCACTGCAGGGCGTGAACCCACAGCCCTGGTGAGTATATATTTCTGCCTACATAACAGCACTCGTAAATGAAAACGTACAGCGGTCGAGGTCACAGACCATCCACGTGAGAACACGTAAACGAGTGGAGTGTATAAGGCACGGGTCGTAATGACGTCAGAGAGGATGCGTTGCCTCGCCGCGCGCTGCGCTGACGCGTCGTTTTTTTTTTTTAGTTTGTTTCCGCGCCGGGCGCCCCCACAGGTGGACCTCATCCTTTAGCATCCCCCACCCCCCCCCAGAGGAAAAAAACAACAAAGAAAAAAACTTAACCCACAGAAAACGTGGGTATCTTAATAAGGATTTTTTTTACAGCTGATTCACAAAATCATAATTAGTACATCTAAGTTAGCACTTTTTTCATTTAAGTTTATATGGACATGGTGCAAGAGGGTTGATATTCAATAGAGTAGCTCAGAGATAGATTCAGACTATCCCGCTTGTTTGAGGCGCACAAAATAGGCTATTTAGTTTTGAGTCTCAACCTTTCCATAATGGCATGATAGAAATGCTTCCGATAGCCGACTACATTTCCGGTCAAATTAAAGACTATAGCCTACTTTGCCAACTTCTTTTCAAAACATGAGCCTACACGCATGCTGACAGGAGTTTACAGGCCTGCTTTCATATTTATTCTGCGTACCTTTATAATAAACTATAGGCCTACATCTGGTATCAGATTTTGGTTTCATAAAGTCCATAATATATTCTCTTTGTGCTGATGTCAAATATTCGTTCTACATGAAGACTGTCATTTTATATAATAGACCTCTGGTTTTGTTTTTGATTAAATCTTAGTATATTACCAGTTTGAAAACATTTAAACATTTTTTTTTTCTCGAAATAGCTTTGATGTGTGCAAAATCTGTCGTTGATAGAGATATAAACACTCTGTTCATTGTCATTTAAATCAAGTAGGAAACAGTTCATATCTTACAGTTCAATCCTTGATAGCAGCGGCTTACTGTTACATGGGTGGTAAGTGGGGTGACATCCAGTCAAATGAGCGAGGAGACAGCAGAGCAGCTGTCATGTCTGTGGAGGTTGTGTGTGTGGGGTGATTCCCTTGGAAATTCTCGTTCTATTTTACAGTTAAAAGTCTGGTTTTTCTCTCAGAGTTCAGGTTCGTCTCGGTTGTTTCGTCTCAGCTCGTCCCTACATCCGCGTCAGTCGTCGTCGCCGTCATCTCCGCCGTGCGGGCCCTCAGGTAGCAGTTCGGAGGCCCGCTTCTCTCTACTCCTCTCCTGGATCTTCCTCATCTCCTCCGCGTATTTACAGAAGGTGTTGCCGAATTTGGACCACACTTTGCAGGGAACCGTAATGGAGTTCCGGTACGTGGGCTTCACCTCGCTAACCCGCATGAAGACCCCGTACTTATTGGAGCCCACGTCGAAGAAGAAGCGCTTGTTGTCGACCGTGAGCGAGGTGCCCTCCGGGAGCTCCGCCGGCTCCTCGTCCACGCCGTAGTCGTCGATGAGTTTGGCCAAAGCGTCGCGGAACTCGATGAGCCCCTGCGCCGGCAGAGCGATGGTCTGGCCTTGCGCGCTTCCCAATCCGGGCCCCCGATTAACGGTCTGTCGGATCCTCAGGAACCGCCCCCTCTGGTTCTCTTTCAGATCCATGTAATATTTCCGATTCTCCCGCACCAGGAATTCGCTCTTGAGCGCCCGCCGGGGCTCATCCTGCACCATGTCCGGGTTGGTCGGGCCCAGCTGGGCGTAATGTTCGATAAAGTCCCCGAGATAATCGCGGAACTCCACGGCGACCGACATGGAGAGAGTGAGGCGGCTCTTGTTTCCCCCAGCCCCGACCTCGGCTATCTTTAGGAAGCGGCCTTTAACATTCTGCTTCACGTCAAGGTAGAAGCGCTTGTTCTGGATGTCGACGCGCTTGGAGGCGAGCTCCTCGGTGTCGTGCTGCAGCCGGGACATGGCGCCCATCGCGCCCGGAGGCAGCGAGCCGGGGCCTGCGGTGGGCCCTCCGTGGTCACTGCCACTGTCTCTGTCCGCCATGATGCTGCCTCCCTGCTTTACCTTCCACCGTCTCCCTCTGCCTGCTGCAACCTCGACTGCCCGTCAAACCGCTCCGCCGCTCTATCGCGAGAGGAGAGGATGAAAAAATGAAAGTAACTGTAGTCGGTGCTACTGTAGTACTCGGAGCGGGCTGCGTTCAAGACACCGGCGCTGTTTTTGCAACGGTTTCGCAGGATTCTCCTCGCAGCCTTTAAAGTGGCTTTATGTTGCCAGAGAACGTTAACCCCCACCTGCGTGAAACACTGCAGCAGCTGCACAGACACACACACACACACACACATGTTGATATATAAATAAATATAGAGTCACATGAACAGAGAAACAGGCAGGAATCATCTTCACACTGAACTACATGTAGATCACACCTGTGTGCAGACTGTCTAAAGCACAATAACACCCACCGCACGGACAGACGCCTACCTGCCGGTTGTCGGTTCGGGTGTTTCAGCACCGCGGACAGCTGTTTGGGGGCTTCAGCACCACGGACAGCGAACCCGCTCAGTCCCGGCGGAGGCAGCCAGGAGGTGGAGCAGGGATTTGTGAATGAGTCTGTGTAGGAGTCTGAGGCTGATTGTCTGCGAAGCATCATGAATCATTACCCTGTGATTGGACTTGGCTCCTGTAGACACCGTTTGTCAATGAGGGGGGATTTGTGAAGGGTTAATCAGCAGGAAAGTGGTCCAAAGTTAACCGTCTCTAAAAGAGAACAAAACAAACTTTGGCAAGTAGTCAGGAAGAAGCAGCTGATTCACATCAATCTGTAAGAATCTGAGTAAGACAGTTTATTTATACCTGCACAGATGTTACTCAAATTGATTTAAAGGCAGAGATAAAGTAAAACTGAATTATTTAACTAAAATAATAAGCAAAGCAATACAGACAAGTTAAATAAAGTTTCACCATAACTATTTAAACTGATACAACAGCCAAATATATATAGATCTAAAAGATGAAGTATCAGCAACAATAAAAATGAAACAGTAGGATTAAAATTAGGTAAATAAAAATGCAGATGAATAAACGTTCTGGTGCCAGACTTTACGAAATATTACTGATTATTAAAAGTAGCTGAAAATAGAATTGGCTTTACCTACTTTTTAAAATTCCTACATTTAGTTGTGAAAAACAGAAATATTTAGATCATGCCTGTACATTTAGTCTACATACATGGAGGCTGGAATGTTTAATTTTATTTTGTAGCTTTAGAATGAAAACAATTGCAAGTGATCTGGATTTAGTGTTCTCAGTCATTTAGTTTCACAATTAGATTTGTTTAGTGACACAAACTACATTTATTTTCTTCATATCAGTTATTTTTCAGGAGTTCTGAACTAGTAAAACTTGTCATATGTGATGCTTTCCTGCTTTTCTTCTGCTCTAAATTGTGTTTAGATTTTGGAATTTCTTGCAAAAACACGTGACCATGTGCGCTTGACATTTTTCATTATTTCGTGGCATTTTAAGGACAAAACAGTGAGTCGATCGCGGCACTCTGTAGTTTAATTGGTAATGAAATAATGTAATAAGTGTAATGTTTCCTCCTATAACGTGAGCATAGACGTAAGTTAACAAAATCGTCAGAATTTAACATAACAGCCGTGACAACAAATAGGACGAAAATGAAAAATTAACTGCCTGATTGGAGAGAATGTTGAATATTCTAAATATCAGTCGGTAAAATCTGAAAAAGGAGCACCACCTATATTTAACAGCAATCACGTATATATAATTTATAGACCTGCTCTGTAGAGAAATCCAACTAAAAAGTTGTACAACATGTGAGAAAGTGTGCACTGTAAAGGGAAAGGATGCACAGAACAATCAGATTCTGTGTATGTATGAGGAGAGTGACACTGATGTCGTGATAATGACTGAAATGTTGCCCTAAATATATTTGTGAATCAGCCCAGTCTTTTCCATTGCGATGCGAGCGTATAAATCAACAGATGGGACTCGACGGTACCCAGGAGAACCGCTGGCGATGTAGAAAAATTAGAGAACCTGTGAGAGGAAATCTGGGTCAAGAGTACAAAAGCATGTAATAACAGGAAGGACGAGTGTGTGGCTCAGATTAGCAGCCTGTATTTTAGCAGAGAGAGCTGAGAGTGTATCATTAGAGGGCAGCTGGAGTGACCTCATCAGCAGCCAGCTGTAATGCCTGAGTGTCGGGGCGCCAGCAGCAGGAGACCCCCTCTGAATCAGGGAGGCTGCCATCGGTTTTCACTCCCTCTCGCTTTGTCAGCAAATGATTTGCTTTCAGGGTTGATTTGGAAATTCTTAAATTGTGTGAGAGGCCTTTGAGGGGTTCTGATGGATGGAGCTGAGATGGATCGGACCGGAAGGGAAGGATTTAGTTCTGTATTTATAAGGTGCTTTTTAATGTATTTATTTAGTATTTTACCCCCACTGCATTACCTTTTGCAATTTCTTAACTTCTTGAAACACAGCTTTTGTCTATTTTATTCTCTTGTACTCATTTTTAAATTAAATGTACAGTCGTCCTCTAATGTTTTCCGACCCTTCTATTAAAGAAAAGGCAACATTCACAACAGTCCCTCAAATAACTATAAAATGAAAAAAGTAATAATAAATAAATAAAAAAGTGGCCAAATTATAATTTAGTGAAATAAGACATTACTTTTGAATTGCAGTTGAAAAGGATAATTAAAAAAAACAAACAAAACTGTCCCGGACAAATTAGAGCACTTTGCTGATGAGCTTCACTGATTCACAAAAAGTTATGAATTAAAATATATATTTTTAAAAACTTCCCTTGGAGAATAATGAGACGTTACCTGCTTGATTGAGGAATGTGTTGAATATTATTAATGTCAACAGATGAAATCTGACAAAGGATTTTGCCATTTTGAGACGTGATTGATGCTGATTTTATTTATTGATTTATAAGGCTCATATGTGTTTTTTTCTTTTAAACAGCCTTACATGAGCTGATTACTGTCTTTTCAGAATAAGTGTCTCATTTTCAATCACTTCTTAAAGTCCATTTTATTTGTCTATTTATTTCCTTTTACCCTTCTTTAAATAGTTTATTTCATTATTTATTGAATTTGTTTACAACAGCAGTGGTGAAAACAAACAAACAAAACTTCCTGAAGAGAGTCATGACAAGTTAACTGTTTGATTGGAGAAAATATTGATGATTAATATCAACAGATGAACCCATTTTATTTGTCTATTTTATCCTCTTTTGTCCTTTTGTTTAAATGTATTTATTCACCTACTTGTTAATTCATTTATAAGGCTCGTACTATTATTTTTTAACCCCCTTACATTACCTCATTACTGTCTTTTCAGATTCAGTGTCTGCTTTCTTATCGCTTCTTAAAATTAGTTTTGTCTATTTTTTTTAACCCCTTTTTACAATTTATTCATTTATTTATTTAATTTATTTACTCTTATTAGATTTTTTTTTTACCCTTAATTGCCTTTACTTGCTGTTTTCCATCATTTAATTTTGCAGTATTGGTGCTTTTAATGTTTTATTTTTATTTTTTTATTATTTCTCCTTCTGTTGTTCTTCTGGGCTGTCTTTTTTCTGGCCTGTTGAGGAAACAGGTTGTAAATTCTCCTTTTAAAGTTGAAATACAGATTAAGTTATTCTTATAAGTAAAGCTCTCAAGCTGGACTTTCTTTCAAGCTTTAGGACAATTCAGGTTTATAATTTTAGTTTATTTTACCTCCAGCTGCTCTTGCTTTAGTCGACTTCTCTGTGTTAGTAAATAAAAGATTTACTTGATGTTTTTGTTGTGATCTAAGTTTCCTATTTGTGTGCCGACATCTTATATTCTCTTAATCGGCTGCTTTGTAAATTCATACTTTGCTGTAATCAGAGTTTAAATAAAGGTTGAATGAAGGAATGAAATGCACCTTCAGCTGCAGGTCCACTGATCTAAACCGTCACCTTTTGCTACTGAGCAAAGATCAAACCTGCAGGTTTTATTTTAAGCAGCACTTCTGTCTCCCTTTAAAGCAGATTTACTCTTTAACTTGATGTTTTGTAAAGGCTGCATGCAGGGAGGAGGCTGGCAGTCATTGCAGCAGCCTGGTTGTGGCCTTCAGTCCATGTGAGGCAGCATGTGATCGGAGCACTAAAGCTGTCAGGTCTGGTCCCTCCTGTGACCTGATGAAATGGCTTCTCATACATTTTCTTTATCATCTCATTCATCTGGAGTAAAAAAAAAAAAAGAAAAAAGGCCTGTCTACATGTCCTCTGCATGACATTATATTTATGCCTTTGTGTGGATGGACAGTGAAAGGCTTCCTGACCTCTAACGAAGGGCGCACATGGGCTCCTGACAGGGAGGCAAATCTTATGAATGGCTGCTGGTAGCAGGGAGATGGAGGAGGGGATACTTGTGGTCACCATGGGGGGGAAAAAAAGACTCAGCATATTCTGCAAAGGTCTCATTTCATTGGTGGAGACGCGTTCAATGAGGAGAGGAAAAAAAAAGTGGTTTTATTTGGGTAGAATCTGTTTCCTCCATTAAAAACCCGCAGTTTGTGGTAACCACGTGTTGCCACTTAAACTGAACCCGAGGCAGCACCAGTGAACTGCAGTGACAGTGGGGAGGTTGTCAGGGGCTTTTTTTTTTTTTTCGGGGCGGAGATGTCTGAAGTGTCTCCTCGCCATGCTGAGGAATCCATTGAGAGAATTTCGCAGCGTTAGTCATCGCAACAACTATCCGCAGTGTGTGTAGTAGTCGCCTATAGCCTCTCTTTGCACCTCTTGCACCGGAGGATCCACAGTGGGCGCCGCGCAGGGGCTGGTTTGGCTGCAGACGCACACTGTGCAGTGCGTGCGTGATTTTCCTTCCACCCGCAGAGGTTTCTTTTCTTTCTTTCTTTCTTTCTTTTTTTTTATTTCCTTAACGCACCGGCATGGTCAACACGCCGGCTGGCTCCGTGGCGCTGCTGGGCCGGTGGGTGCCCGGGTCATTAGGGGTGTTTGCGCAGGACGTGGCGAGCCGACGCCAGTGACCGGGCAGGTGATGTTTGCTCACGTAAGCCGCTCGCGTTTGATGAGGGGCGCAGGGGACGCGGCTGGAGGGTGCGCGCTATTGCAACGCCTCACCGGATGAACCGCCGATGTTCCTCCTCGGTTCTCTCTCTTTCTTTTTTTTGTCTTTTTCTTTTTTTTAACACAATCTGCAAGAGTGCGATCGAAATAAGTGGATAAAGGATCCGATTTTTTTTTTCTTCCTGCGTGTGCGTGGTATCTTTTCTTGTGATTCCCCCAGTACGCGCAAGAAGCCGCTTTTTTTTTTTTTTTCCATCCACAGAGGCAATGCGCCCACCCATGCGATGCTAGCCTATTAGCTGGAGAGGGAGAGAGAGAGAGAAAGAGAGAGAGGAAGAGAGAGAGAGAGAGAGGTTTCAGCCCTGGATTCGAGAGGAGGCTAATTTACGAGTCTTGTTTTGCCTTTCAGGAAAAGGGGGAGATCAGAGGGGGAGGGTGGCTGGTGAAGGAGAATGCAGCAATCACATTTTTAAGCATGCACAAGCGGGCCGTTCCCGGTTCCTAGGCTGGTGTGTGTCCCCCCCCATCCGACGCCAGCAGCCGTATGGGGAAAGCAGCGGCAGACACAGATGGCATGGACACTTCCACAAGGTCTGCCGCTCTGCCCTGCCCGCTCTGCCGCCGGAGCCCGTTCGCCGCCGTCTCTCTCTTCCAGCTCGCTCCGCCGCCCAGCAGCACTGCAGCACAGCACAGGCTGACGGCATGAGGCTTGATCCAGTGCATTTCTCCATGCTGGTCATCGGGGTCTCCTTCGCCTGTTACGCCCCGAGTCTCAACTCCCTCCAGGACCAGGCGTACCGATCCGCCGTGGTCATCGAGGGCGAGGTGCGCTCCTCCCCGGAGAACGTCTCCTCCCGGGAGCCCTACAGTGTGAATGTCAAAGTGCTGGATGTGTGGCCCGTCAACAGCGGCGGCCTCGAGAGGGAGCAGCTCGTGACCGTCGGGGACTTCGGCTCCGAGGCCCCGTGCACCACCGTGGAGAAGGACCACAGATATATCTTTTTCATGGACCCCACCGCCGAGCCTTTGGTATTCAAGGCATCGTACGCCCCTGTGGACGCCAGCGAGCCGGAGCTGAAGAAGGATGTGGAGAGAGTGCTGTGCGAGGACTGCGGTAAGTTTTTTGAAGGCTTCCCCGTTTATACCTGCCGTGCACCATCATCAGGGCCAACCGGAGCTGCCATGGTGATGTAAGGAGACCCACTCTGCGCGTGCACGTGTGCAGCCCCCATACAACAGTGTGTTGTCAGACATACATGCATGACACCTCCATCCTCCATAACCCGGTCACCCGTCAGGAAATGAGTCAGGAGATGTGTGTGAGAGATCTGTGGATTCAGGAAACTTGCCCGGATTCCTGCATCATCGCATCAGTACATGAAGTAGCCAACATGTGGAGCTTCAGGGTGGAAAATCAGCAGCTTCTGTATCTATATGTGTGTGTGTGTGTGTGTGTGTGTGAGGCCCAGCATGTGATGGGGATCAGGCTCTCCATGTTAACCTGCTTTCCAAACTCCGTATTTGTTGCCTTTAAGATGTCAATTCTGCTGCTGTTTTACATCAGAAATCGTGGCACAAAAAAATTCCCTGACAGTGCCGGCGTTGACTGCAGCGACAGTATGTGGGTGGTGGTAACAGTTCAAATCTCTAAACTTGTTGCCAGTGCCTACCATGTATGTCTAAAATTGTCCTTTTTGTTCTTGCAGTGTATCGAGCAACACAAACTGCTGTAGCGCTGCTTCACAAGAAGTAGCTCAAACTGCAAGAGCAGGTTTAACTGAAAAGCATGACACAACAAGGAGAGGCCCGGGATAAAGTTTGATGCTTGTGCACTTTTTCTACCTTATTTTTCTCTCAGACAGGAAAAGAAAAATGTCAGAATTTCTCTCTGTAGTTCAAACAACACACGGATCACCTCTGATTTATGCATATCGTATCTTTACTTAACCTGCTCGTTGCAAGACTTCTTTTTCTTCCCTTAAAGACAGCACTGATTCCTCGATAAATGATCTTTATTATCCGTTCTGCCTGTGCTTTCAGGAAATGCTAAACTGCCTCTGAGAAGATGCATCTACAATTTGTGGCATCTTCTTGTCCTGTGTTTCCCCTTTCTGCACAAACAAAGAGAACAAGAGAGTTTTAGTGTCAAACTCGGGGACAAAACCTGTTTTTCTGTCTTCAGATCCAGAATTAGCACGAACCAGGAGCATCTACAGTATCAGATCCTTACAGGAACCCAGATGTCTCAACAAAGGGTTCATCCGGCGTTTGAGACGACAACGTGACGTTCTATTTTTACCTGCATGACACGCTAAAATTATCGAGTCATTTATTTATGACAGCGCCGTTGCAATCAGTCTAAACACATTTTCCGAGCAGGGATAAGCTCAGGGGAGGAGATGCCCACTTATGAGCCGCATGCAAACACACAAAGTCATGTTTCCGTCACGTCGGGAGACATTACAGCGACTTACCTTCGTGTTCTGGCGACTTGCCCTAATCTTAATTATAACCATTAGTTCCCTGCTTTTCGTCCCCACAATGTGAGCGTGTGGATGGATGTAAGTGCCCACATGCGCACACTTCAACACAGCAAACATACAGCGAGAAACACAACCTAATGAGACACTTCAGAGTGTGGGGTGACACTACAGATGCACTGTGGCAACCAGTAATCTCCCAAGATCCACAGAAAACCAGTCTCTTTGTCTAGCTCTGATTTCTAGGTTTGATCGGGTTAATCTGCAACTCATCTCAGAGGTGAACTGCTTAGAAATGGTCATGAGATTAAATTAATACTTCTTTGAGCAAGTAGTAAGCTTGAAACCTTTAAAAAGTGAAATATCTTGAGGTGAAGTTGGACGTGGTTTCTAAAGAGCAAACAAATATCTCATTATTAACCGTCTCTTTGCAGTTTCCATACGTGTCCTCTGTATGCTCCGTACATCTCAAACCGTCAGTAAATGAGTGTCTCAGATTCATCTCCCTCTGCAAGATGTCTGTAACAGCTCATTGGCAGGACTTCTCCTCAGTTGTATCTCGCTCTCCGGCCACGCTGGCACTTTTCTTCGGGTGGATGCAGTAACGTCAGCGTAAGCCGGTGAATGAGCTACGACCGAGCAGGACTCGGTGCCAGAACTCGGGCCGGAGATGTGCACGTAAAGATGCTGCAGAAGGCTTTAATTTCAGATAGAAGTCATTGCAGCTGGGAGATGGGTTGGTGAGGGGCGTGTCAGCAGACACACACCCTGAGCTGAACCAATCCAAAAGTAAGTCCAAACAGGCAGCCGGCCAATCGCAGCCAAACTGTTGGAACACCCACCTCTGGTCACACACTCCTACCAAATCTCTATCAACACCATCACATTATAGCAGCGGCTGTCGCCTCAGGGGCCAACGCAGGATCTGGTGTTTCACTAACACCGTGTAAAAAGCCAGTTTTGCAAGAGCTTGCAAGTCTGGGCCTGATAATAGTCGAAAAATATGTTTTTAACGAGTGATTTTGGTACCGTTTTAAGCTAAATCTGTTCACAGCAAACTGGTAGCAAGAGATCCATCTCTCCTTTATGAGGAGGAACACTGCAGCTGCACAGTTCGCTAGGAAGGACGCAACTTATGACTTTATTCTGCCACAAGAGAACATGTGAAAACTCGAATACAAGCAAGCATTTACTAGCGTTTACTGTGTATTCCAGTTCAGCATCGCTTCTATTTGTCTACAAAACAATAAAATCAAAGAATTAGCTTCCATGCTAGCTACATTAGTTGGCTCACTTCCCAATTTTTCCAACCTACCCGCACTTGTCGGACTGATACGCTGAATTTTTCAGACCTCTTCTTGTTTTTTCTAGACTACACTAATATGTTGAACCCACAAGACAACGTTTGCTGTCGCACCGAAAAATGACATAAAAGCTGCTTACAGTCTGAAGGCTTGATTCCGACTTTGCACCAGCGAATGTTGACATTTCAAAGTTAGAAGACCCCTCGCTGGGAGAGGAATTATGAGACAGTAAATCATTTTGCGCCATAAAAGACACGAGAGCCATCTTCCAAAAGCACAGCCAGCGTTGATTAAATGGAGCGAGCAGCCAGCCTCTCTTTTACTGTTTGTATGTTATTGAGCCTGCTATGCTACTCCAATAAGCTCTGAGGGCTGTATCGAGATTAGAGGTTAGCGAGCTATGTTGAGCCTGAAGTTTTCAGTATCATGAAATCATCTCTCTTTTGACCTGCCTATATCTCCATGGTAACTGATACTGTGGAGCTAGATCTCCATGGTAACTGATGGAGCTAACCTGGTCCAGGTTATGTTCAGAGATTTAAATCGGCTGGATGGAGCGTCTCCCTTTAACCAAATCGTTTCCTGACTGTTATTTACGAGCGATACAGATTCTCAGCTGAAGGAATGTGTTTTATCTGCAAACAGGCTGAGTTGTGCGTTGCTAATATCGCTGAATGAAGTCGTGCAGTTACAGCATCGCACACTGTAAATATTGTGTTGCCATGGGAACCCGTTTAGTTTGCGGTGCAGAAATCACAAATACGTTTTCGTGTCCGGCTCTGATTTGCTGTCAAGCCCGTTCACACTGCTGGTAATGCAGCGGATTGTTCTGCTGGTATTTATGACACAGAATATTCAATCAATAACATTAATTTCGCTTTGATTTGGCCAAAAATTAAAGTGATATCCTGCATTATGGGACAGTGTCAGACCTAAATGCACTTTAACACAAGATAAGGCTTAAATACATGAAGTTTAACTTTACCGTTCAGCTGTCGGTTGGAAATCAGCGGCTCCATCGGTAAAATCATACATATGAACACGTTTAACAGTTTTCTACCAGCATTTCTGTCTTGCACCATTTGCAGTTGCGGCACTTTTACCGCCATAAATTTTAAAATTTCTCATCGTTCTCCATTAAAACAACGTGTTGACTGAAGCAGCTGAACGCGATCGTTTCATTTTGGATGGAAGAAGAGTCACATGAAGCGTTAAACGTCCCTTTTTACGTGAACATAGTCTGAAGCAGAAAGTCTGAGTTGACAAAGAAAGTTGAAAACCACCTTCACGATGCACGTAATCTCCGTCCGGGGCTTTCGTTTTTTGTCGAGCCGGCTTACACAAACAAAGCCCGGCTATGTCAAACTCGTACACCCCTCTGCTCTTTCCCCACTCCAGCTCAGCCCACACCTCTGACGCAGCTGTTCTTGGGGATTATTTACATGGAACTTTCCCAGAATCTGCATCGGTCTCAGTATAAATAGGTGCAACTTTCACTTTCAGCATTTCACATTAAACTGTCTTCATCAAGGCTGCAGATGTTGGATAGAAGATCTTTGTTCTGTCTCCGTTGAGCTCAACCGGCCTTCACCGCCTCACTGATCTGTGTGGACTGCTCACACTCTCCTGATTTAAAAAAAAAAAAGTACAAAACCAATCCTATCTGACATCCCAGGCAGTCTGCAGCGTAATGTAGGTCTTCTCTGATCATTGCTGTTGGCGTGCCTTTTGAGATGCATTGACAGTTTCTTCCTAAAATAGCTTTATCTGATGCCCAAACATGCTCCTGTCACTGATGCTCTATCTAATGCTGCATACCTCGAGCATCACTCTCCCTCCACCCCTCGTTCTGAATCTCTCCCGCTGCTGTAGCCGGACTGACTGGTTCAGCTTATTCCTGCCCTTCTGTCAGTCACAGAAACACAGAAAGAGATGTTCGGCTTTGAAACTACCAGGAGATGCCGCAGTAATGCTCGCCGTAAAACCTCATCAACAACAACACCGAGTTCTGGAACAATTTTACTTCACCTGGAATGTTTGAAACTGAATTTAGTACGATTCTGTAAAACAAAAACGTTGCTTTCTTCTTGTTGCTGCTGTGTTTAAAACATTGGTTCTCATTCATGTAAGAATAACTTAACGTGGTTTTAGGAGAAATTATGTGGCAGAGCAACATCATGGAAAAATTTCCTGGAGTGCTGTTTGTTACAATCCAAAATCAAAACCGGTGCTCACCGGTTCTATCTCCAAATCGATCCAGTTTTACACAAGTCATCACATAAAGACATCAGGTCTTTACAGTATTATATGATACAGAGAAACCCAACTAA